TCAAGGAGCTCTGAGACAGACAGATTCTGAGAAAGAGAACGCAAGGGATAATTATCTAAATTATGTTCAGGCTATTATTGAAGACGAATATAGTTAAAATGTAATTAAATATGACGGGCTCACAGGATGCAAGCATGACTTTGGAATGCTAATCAACAATTATAGCTCTCCTTGGGGGACTGAGGCAGAACAAGAACGTTGGGAGGGATAGCTGAGGTGAAATATGGAGTATTAAATAACATACCCTAGGGCTGCAACAAGGCTAATTTCTTTTAAAAGATGAAGCTGTGGCACTGGGGGATTTGTGCTGGTTGTGCATCATGCAGTGTTGCCTTTCAGGTTGAGGACCCTCATATCAGCATAAGCTCTTGATCGCTGGTCTTGTCAGCAAAATGTAAGCCTCAAATGAAAGTATTGATTTCCCTAATTATATACTTTTGGTTTTTATAAGTATATGTATTGGAAGTTGTTGAGACTCTAGAAAGAGTACAGAGAAGAGCAACAAAGATGATTAGGGGACTGGAGGCTAAAACATATAAGGAATGGTTGCTGGAATTGGGTATGTCTAGTTTAATGAAGAGAAGGACGAGGGGGGACATGATAGCAGTGTTCCAATATCTCAGGGGCTGCCACAAAGAAGAGGGAGTCAAGCTATCCTCCAAAGCACCTGAAGGCAGAACAAGAAGCAACGGGTGGAAACTAATCAAGGAGACAAACAACCTAGAACTAAGGAGAAACTTCCTGACAGTTAGAACAATTAACCAGTGGAACAACCTGCCTCCAGAAGCGGTGAATGCTCCAACACTGGAAGTTTTTAAGAAGAGACTGGACAGCCATTTGTCCGAAATGGTATAGGGTTTCCTTCCTGAGCAGGGGGTTGGACTAGATGACCTCCAAGGTCCCTTCCAACTTTATTATTATTATTATTATTATTATTATTATTATTATTATTATTATTATTATTATTATTATTATTATTAAGTTCACAAATCCAAGCAGATACATATTGTTGATCTTTTGGATAACATCTTCATCTCTATTTTCTCTCTATCATTTTTAGTAGAAAAATATAGTCTATCGTCCATTGCTGTTTTACTAACCCTACTAAACAAGGTTTTTACTTGTTAATGGTTATTCCTGGAACAAAGTAGCACAAAGAATTAGCGACACAAAGAATATCGAATTTTATAGTGCATAAAAACTGTACGTATAATGGGCTTTGTCCATTTGTAAACAAACTCAGTTCAATCTCACAGTTCAGTTTGTAAATGAAAAGGTTTCATGGACACAGTGAGCATGCATTTAATACATCTTCTCATTCTGCGTTTCTAGCACGTAGATATTAATATCTTAAATCCCTAAATTCACTTTTGTTTGTTTTATATAGACACTGGAAAGACTCTAAATTCACAACACCAGGAATCAGAAATCTCTCATTTATTTTTAGTAGTTCAGGTGCTCCCTTGAATATTTTTGCATGCCACCTTGAAAGATAAAATTGTATCTCTTCAGGTTTCTTTTAAATAGTTTCTTTTAAATAGTCCATGGATGAATACATTTTCCTTCTTACTGCATAAACATTTCTAATTTTGCTAATTTGTATGTTAGTATTTCCACTAGAAAAGTGCATTTAGAATGACATATTGGAAATACAAAAAACATGCTCAAATTTAACTGATTGACTCAAAGATAGACAATTAAAATTATAATCCCTCACTGTTGAATTTGTAATTATGTAGATTATATAAAGTTGATAACCCGTAGTTAAGAGCTAATCTTCAGGACTTGGTTGACTGAAAATTGTCATTTATCCTAAATTATTTATGCCCCACACAGCTTTCTTGGTTAGAATGTATATGGCTCCTACTACTTACCAGAGATAGAAAAGGCTCAGTTAGAATTTGGGTAAGCTTCTGTGCCTCTCTGAGTGCTTCTTATGAGAAGTACATCTTTGCACTTCGGCATTTTAGGAGCCGTAATTCTTGTGGTATCCAATTAGACGGGCATAATGCCAATGGCAATGTAGGCAGTTTTCATGTGCAAATTGATTCTGTTCTACTGCATTCTAGTATTAGGTAAATAATATAGTAGAAGTTCCAGTATTTGCTATGAAAATTTATCTTCTCTTTAATTTGAAATGATATTTATAGGCTTGTAAAAGGGCATAACTCTGTTCTTGTCTACGAATGTTCTACATAAGCCCCACCCCTTTTTTGGTTAATCAAAACAGATTTCAACTATAGAGAAGTAGTTTTGTAGTAGATGGCATATCAAAAGGCTGTTTTTTAAAAAAATTGGACTCTAGTTATAGCTGATTTTATAGTTTCCTATCCCAAGAAAAAACAAACTCCAAAAATAAAGAATGATAAAGCAAGCCAGTTTGGTAACACAGCTGGGCCTCAGGCTGGAAACTGAGAGATTATGAGTTCTTGTCCTGTCTTAGGCACAAAGTGACCTTGGGTCGGTCATTTTCTCTCAGCTCTAGGAAGCAAGCAATGGCAAATCATTTTTAAAAATCTTCCCAAGAAAACTGCAAGAAATAGACCAGGTAGTCACCAGGAATCAATACTGACTTAAGGACACTAGAAAAAGTGTGGCAAACTCAGGAAATTAAAATTAATTTAGTCATATATTGGAGTAGATGCAGTGCTTTTTTTGTAAAAAAAAAAAAAAAAGGTGCCAGAACTCACATGTCATACAATCCGCCTTGCCTACCCTACAAGATTCCATCCAAAAAAGGTGCCGGAACTCCATTCTGAGCGTTCTATGAAAAAAAAAGCCCTGAGTACATGTATTGAAATCAGTGCAACATAACTAACTTACATGTTTGCTCTGTGTATGACTGCATCCAGTGTACCTAAGCCTTTTCTATCCAGCTAGATACTTTTCTAGAAAGTCTGCTAAAGCAGAGGGCCCCAACCTTTTGGGCCCCAGGAACCAGTTCCGTGGAGAGAGGTTTTTCCGTGGACTGGAGGGTGTGTGATTTTGTGCGTTGCCTGCACCTCGCTGATGGGGCTTTGCTTGTTTGTGCGGACCGGTTGCTGGCATGTCACGGTCCGGTACTGGTCCACGGACCAGGGATTGGGGATCCCTGTGGTAAAGTTTTGCCTTAATAAACCAACACTATCAAAATAATGTTAGAACTAAAATAGATGGCATTAGAAAGATACAAATGTTGCTGTACTGTATTCATGTGATTTTGAATAGAAGAGAGCAATTTTTATGTGTGTGCCTATTAAGATACTAAATTTCTCCCTGGTGCAGCTTAATCACCAAACTGTCTGTGCCTCTTCCCAATAGTTTGGGAATGTTTCAAAAGACTATGGGTATGGCTTGGGAATTTGAAACAAATAAAGCAACAAAAGTTGATGTCCTGAATTTATAAAAATGGAATTATTTTCTGCTTCACTATACTTCTGAAGCCCAATGGAATTAAAAGAATAAGTATGCAAAAAGTCATAAAAAGTTTGCCTAGATCAGATCAACACTTTCTTATAGCTTTTTGCTATACTGTACAGTATTCCAGCTTAAATCTTGCTATAAATGTAACTAACAGTGTTGCAGTTATTTCAACATTTTCCTTTCCTTTTCCTTTTGCTATTTTGTAGTATGTAAATACCTTTTGAATGCAATGCTATCCAAATGTTAACCTCCTTCAAAAGTTCATTAAATTGCTTTAGCTGTCATTTCTTTAATTATATTAAGCTCTATTATGCATAAAGTTTGTAATTTTACTTTCAAATTGATTTGAGGAGAAAAGATAATCGGATTATATATTAATCCAATGTAATGTCTACTGTTTTATAAAATACTCAAATACTCAAATCTTCTTTCTCTTTTGTTCTTGAGAGAAGAAAGAGGTGCCAAAAATTATTCTTGGCTAAAGGCATGATCATGAGCTTTTCCAGTACCATAAAAGAAAATAACATTGTGCAACAGTTTAAAAATCATTATGTTAGGTCCTTGAGGTACTGCAAGTTCTACATTCATACTGATTCCTTCAGTATGAGTAATTACATCCTTTTTGTTAATAAAATTCACACATTATGCTAAACTGTAAACACAGGTGGTTTTGATTTAATATGATGCACAAACCCAGTTGTAGTTTGGTGTGGAGAACACACAGAATTGTAATTTAAGCTAAGAAAAAACACAGTTCTTTTCTAAAATAGCAGAGGAGGAGGAATCTAGAAAGTCCTAGCTTTGAGGCCCGTAGGAATAACTTCACCCCACCTTTTTGCCATAATTATCATTTCTGTTTGAAACCTTAGGTTTTCAAAAGCCAGGTCCTTTTTTAAGTACTACATAACATAGATCCTGCTTATTATTGATCCATATTTACCACCAGAATAACTAGGCTCAGTTGAAGAAATCTGATTTCTTCCATTTATAGCAGTTACAAGAAAAGGAAATACTTTTATGTGGGATAAGAAAATACTTTTATGTGGGATAAGAAAATTTGTACTTCCTACCTCTTCTGAGTAGTTGTTAGAACCATAGAAATTCTTGCTCTTCTTTCATTCAGTTCTTCTTTTATTTTGTTTAAAAGTGAAACTAGCACCAACAGAATGTGGCAACTGCCAGCATTTCAGTTGCTTCCACTTGTGGAACCTGATATTAGAAGTCGACCAATGGCATGTGCTTGAAATAATTGAGTTTTGCTTAAACATTTCACTGTTTCTTTTGCATTGTTCTCTTATTTCATTTTCCAAAAATACAGTACATTAATGTACACTTACCTGAGTACAGGTGCATTGCTCTTTTGAATTTTGTGTTCTATGCTTCTGACCTGAGATGATCTGCTTTTCTGATTTTATTTGTTATATAGTTGTTAGTCTCTCCCAGAAAGGTCATCCAAGCATTGAACAGATAAAAGTAAATGTACATATTAATGCAAGAATATGTTGGCTCACTATAGAAAAAAATTATCTTAAGTTTTATAAAAAAAAACAAGTATGCAATTGTTTTAATTTTCTGTATCCCTTTTCTTTCTTGTGCAGATCCTGGCAACTTGTAACTTTTGATAGACAACCAGCGTCTTTTATCAGAATTGTTGGCACTCACAACACAGCTAATGAGGTAATGTAATAGATTACATTTTGTGGCATGCTGAACACTGAGATATAAAACATGTCACCCAATTATTCTTACTCAAGATTGTACAAGTATTAACTTCTTTCTGTTTAAAGAATCTAGGGAAGAAGAAAAAATACTTATTTTAATGAAAAAATACAGAATGTATTGGGGTATATACAAAATCACTGAATGTATATACATATACATAACACCACTTAAAGTTGCTGAAAGAAACTGAAAAAATGCTAAAAAGCACTGGGTTAGAGATGGATTGTCATGGATAAAATCTGTCTATTTGGTCTCTGAGAATTAGCACTGCAAAATCAATGCATCACCTGTGTAATTTAATTTGAACAAGAATATTTGCAAATTGTTTATAGAAAATCCCTAGGAGAAATAATTTACTATAAGTTATAGTGAATCAATCATCTAGGTAGTAATACAAAAAGTATTCTAACGACAAGCTAATTTAATAGGAAGCAACCTACTCTCTTTATTCTAAGTGTTGCCGAGGATTCCATTCATCTTTCCAAGACCAAATGAAAGGATCTGAATATGAGTAACTGCAGTTGGTGACCACAGCAGATCAGAGATTTTGTTGTCAAATCAAGTGTTTGCAGACAGAGGAGCTGCTGTGGCTGAAATTATTTCTGAGGTTCTTCAGAGTTAGAAAGTTAGATTTTGTTTTTCTTTTGGCTTTTGCCACAAGCATAACAGGATATCTGGAAATATCCTAGCTGCACTAGAACATTTGTGGATGGTATTTATGTCATCTTTGTTCAAGGCTTAAAAGGGAGCAGATTTGGCAGGCAGGTTGAGGGTGAGGTGGGGGGCTGCTGTCTTGCTATGCTAGAGAATATTGTCTACCAAGAAAGCAGGGTGAGTGAAGATGCTGAAAGAAAGAATGAAGTGGAGCAGAAGAAGATATCAGAATTAGGAAGTTCTGAACACAAAGCAAATGGTGTGTGATGACCTCAAGCGATCTCCAGCCCCAGAAAGAGGGAAGGAATGTTGGGCAAGTGAACAGAATGGCAGAAAAACTGGGATGGCATGAAAAGGAGCCGAGGTGCTGAAGAGGGTGGTCCAGGTGCTGACTTTTCAGAGAGTGGTTTAGAGGAAAATGTAGTTCTGAATAGTAAGTTAACCTGGAATGTTTTTTCCCCCTCATATCCATTTTTAATATAACAAAGCAGAATAATTAGTAAAATGATTAAGAACAGAAATAACTTAAAAGGGATAAATTAAAAAACTTAGGTATTAATTTATTTAGACATTAGTAGAACAGGAGGAAAGTTGAGTGAATAATAATAAAATGGAATTAAAAGTAAGAACTGTAAAGTTACTTGAGTATATTATTAGAAAATGTATTTGCATGTAAGTGAAAGGAGATAACATTTTATTCTAAAGACAAAAGGGACACATTTTTCAATGTGACAGTTGTGCATTATTGTCTAGATCTCTTGCTGTCCCTTCTCACTTTATGGCAGTGTCCCACTACCCAGCAATAAGAGGAGATGATATAGGATTTGGGGCTGAGTTTCCTCCAGGCTGCTATTGCTTGGTGATTTCAGCATCCATGCCAAACCAGTCTTGTAGAATTGTATCAGGATTTTGTGACCATTTTAATTAATTAATTTTTATCCCACATTGATTAGTTAATACTCCTTCCTCCTTCTATTTTTCTCACAACAATCTGTGACGTAGGCTGGGCTGAGAGAGATAACTCAAAGTGGTGAACATACATAATATTCCTTCCTCCTCCTATTTTCCCCACAACAACCACCACCTGTGAAGTAGGCTGGACTGAGAGAGAGAGTGATTGGCCTAAGGTCACCCAGCCAGTTTTTCATGACTAAGGTGGGACTAGATCTCACGCTCTCCTGGTTTCTAGCCTGCCACCTTAATCACTAGACAAAACTGTTTCTCAATCTCATGACCATCGTGAGTTCAGTAGTCCTGTCAAAATGTGTACAGACATACACAGACACCCAAGTAGGATACGTGCTAAATTTCGTTTTTTATAATGAGTTGATTATACCATAGTGGGAGAAATCCAAATTTTGGATGCATGCTATAAGCTCATTTGAGATACCTTGGTTGAAAAAAAATTGCCCTATGGTGCACCATTTCGCTCAGATAAAAGTTACAGGAAAGAGAGTTTTAGTAGTATACATATTATTGTATCCTAAACCAGGGGTCCCTAATCCCTGGGCCGTGGCCTGTTTGAAACCTGGCCACAGGAGAGATGGGCAAGTGCGCACACGTGAAACTCATTCACACAAGTGGATGCTTGCGTCACATGCAAAGCTCCATTCACACGAATGAGCTTTACGCGTGAACGCCCTCCACTCTTGCAAGTGGAGTTTCATGTGCAAGCACCAACGCCCTCTGCTTAAGTACCCTCCATTCAGGAGAGTGGAGCTTTGTGCACAAATGCAAGTGCCTGGTGCTTGCACAAGTGGAGCTTCACGCGTAAGCACAAGCACCCTCTGCTCACATGCGATTCTCCATTTGCACGAGTGGAGAGCACACTCATGTTAGCCTAGCACTCACACACACAGACATGAATCAGGTCAGGCCACCAAGCAAGAAAGGTTGGGGACCGCTGTCTATTAAACCATCATGGGCTGTTTTGGGGAGTAAGCAGGTATACATTTTATAAGAAATGTATATAAAAATATGTGTCAGTGCAAAAGATAAATCATGAGGTAAATATTTGATAAGAAAATATATAAAAGAAGGTTCAAAGGAAATTCATCTATGTGAAATGGATAACTCAATTCCTTCTTACTTGCTGATGTTTCAGATAAATCTTTTAAGCAATGATTTTACAAGCCTTTTTTTAGCAGTGAATTGTGTGGATACCCTGTCATGCTACATTAACTTTATAATCTTGCACATGATTTTGTCTGTTTTAGTCTAAAACAGAATTGTGTTTTACTAGAGAGAAAGGTATTCTTTCCCCAATAGAAAGTTAAAAATGAATACTAAGCATTTAAGAACCCAAAGAGATATATGCCCCGAGGAATGTTTGACAATATACTTTGAAAACAACAGTTCAACCCTGAGCTACAAATATTCTCCCCTATGGAGACTCTTTGTTTTCAAGTTACATATTTATTCTCAGAAGACAACTTAACTACAGATAAGGACACACATACAGATGCTTCTCCAGATGAAATCCTAGGCTGTTTTGAAGAAATTGTATGCCTATCTTCTATTCAGTTTTTATTGTGTTTAGTAGTAGAAGATGCTTTGATCTTAGAAGTGCTTGTTCATTGTGCTACTTGAACCTGTATGTTTTTGTATATTTTATTTTTGCATACTTTATTTTTTAAAGCTAATTGGAACATTCTATTTCCAAGACTGCATTCTTTTGACTAAAATAAGAGCACTTGGATTTTCAGTTGTTACTATCTATCATATTTTCACTTATATAACTGCAGACACCAAGAACTCTATAGACCCCAGTATGATTCAGGTAGAAAAGCAAAAGTGAAATAAAACTATATGCTCAAGTGTCTGAAGAGTAGGAGTATATATAGAACTAATATGCATATCATTTTAATATTTCAGGAATTTAAATTTAATTGATACAGTATACCAATTCTGTGCTATTCTTATTTGAAAAATACCACTCAAGTATAAAGATGGTCACTGAATACCTTGAAAAACCTTGATCAGATAATTCTAAAAATCACAAATATATTGTATAAAACCAGTTGGAAGCCAGTTTCTTTGGTCCTTCATTTGATCTTTACATTCTCTGTGCAGTTGGACTTATCATACATAAGCTTCTAGGTATATGTGGATTAACTTTATAGTTTCAGTGAAGTACTGCTAGTTGTTAGCTATTAGCAAATTTCTGTTTCTTCATATTTTTCTTGTCTGCCTACCACCTGGTGTGTTGCTTTTAATAAGAAGCTTCAAAGACTAACAAAAATTGTGATTATTAAGTGAAGTTCTTTGATGTTGCCTTCTTCCTGCTTTCCCCCCCTTCCCCCAAAAAATGTTGGTGTTTCTGGAATATTAGTTCCTATTCCTGTGGCATTTTCAGTTTTATATAAGACAACTATGAGGTTTTGTTAGGCTGTTAATGATCTGATTTCTTGATCGCTTTCTCAGCCTGATTTTGATTTTTTCAGTATCTCCTTTGGGATATGCATGTCAACTTTTGCTGTGAATTCCATGGCAGTAGCAGAAATTGACTGGTATAACATTGTATACAATCCAATTCTATCTTCCAACTTAGTCTTTAGATACTTAAATACCTTAAGGGGAAATGTGCTTTTGAATTAATTTTTGATTATTGGCAATTACCTGGACAAGTCCCTGCAGTTTCTTGGCAAGGCTTGTCAGAAATGGTTTGGCATTGCCTGTTTCCTAGAGCTGAAGAGAGGGACCGGTCCAAAGTCACCCAGCTGGCTTTGTGCCTAAGACAGGACTAGAACTCAATTCATGGTCTTGGTTTCTAGCCTGATGATTCAACCAATACACTAAACTTGCTTTAAATACATATTATTGTAGCATAATTATTATTTCTTAATTGCTTGGAAAATACAGATACTTTCCAGCTGTTCTTTATCTTTCTCATATAATCTGTTGTCACCCTTGATAATAGTATCTCATGTTTATTTTTCATCTTGGATTCTTGTTTGGAACAGTGTAGACTAAAAATGAAGATGCCCTCAAGCTGAATTTGTCTACAGTGTTGATGACTGTCTGGACAAAGTAATGGGGTTTTCTTGGCAAGAATAAAAGGAGGTTTGCAACTGCTTTCTCTAAGATATTTTTCAATTTCCCACCGTAGCCTACAGGCCTGGAATTCCTTGGCTATCTTCCAATCATGCTTAGCTTCTAAGCCTAGATGAGGTTGGCCAGCTACTGTTACTTGCTGTATATCTTTGTTTAGTTAACAGAATTGTTTCTCTGTTAATCTCTGGGTGGGGGGAAGCATACACATTATACAATCTCCACAATATACCAAGAAGATGTTTACATAT